TGAATATCATAAAAGAATATGTAACTATTAAAATGCAGACACTTGTGTAAACACAACTACATGTATAAAATCTCTGTGTACAAAAAACATTAGGTATAGTAATGAGAAAGTAAAAATAAAAACCTGTATTTAGATCTCCATAAATGTAAACATTATACCTGCATGACGGTCAAGGCTGATGAGCAGCAGATTAACAGAGACTGGGAATGTTTAACTTGTCAATCATGCATTTATACACATTGATGTTTTTCCTGGGATGTATTTGACTACTATTAAAGTTAATTTACTCTGGTAGTATTTTTTAAAAATAAGCCTTTGGGAACTTGGGTGTATTAGAAAACACTGCTTAGGCATTAAGGAGGGAGTGAGTTATTTTGTTTTTCCTGTGTAGGTCTTTAATCCAACTAGTCCTTCTTTCTTTTGCCCTGATTTTCCTTTTTCCAGCATTTTATTTTCTGTATGTTTGCAGGATTATGTTTCAGTTTTTTCTCTATGGGTAGATTTCTTGATTTGAGATTTTCTTTTAATAGGTTAATGTGGCCCATTTGTACTCATTATGATCACTGATTTATTTGCCATATTTCTATCATTTTGTGTTATGTTTTATTTTCTGAGCTTTTTCTTTTCACTTTTTCTCACCTTTTTTTGCATTAATAAACTGTTCCTTATTCTTCCCACTCATTATTCCCTCTAATGGTTCTGTCTTTATTATTTTAATGATTATTATTTGTTTACCTGTATGAAAATGAATTAATACTTTCCAATCAAGTTTGTTAATACCATTCTCTTCACGAATAATACAAAAAATTTAGAAAGTTGTTTCCATCCAAACTTTCCTTCCCATGGTTTTATTTCAACGTTGCTTTTCCTTAAGCCCCTGCTCTACTTTTTCGGGCAGTACCTGTTTAGCTTCACCAACACATTTTATTGGTTTTCCTGATGTCCTTCACTTTTTGCAAAATATTCTTCTCTTTTGGTTTTAATTTTCACTAGTTTTTTCAGTGAGATAGTAAACTTTTCCCTCTGTCTGAAATGTGTAGTTTCCTGCACATTCAGAACTGAGTGCTAGTTACACTGGGCTAGATTCATATTTTTTCAGAGACGTCCCCCTTTTCTGAGCAGCTGACGTGCCATATTCACAATAATTTTACATTAGCATTTTTAAGATATTCATTAATTAGTGCCCTTTTGATTCTTTGTAAATACTCCACTTTTCATTCAGAATCCTTCTAAGATTTTTTCTTGTTCATCTTAATGATCCGCAGTTTTGCCATGAAGTGGGTGTTGGTATGTTTTAATTTATATGTGGTTATTGGTTAACGTCTAAAGTTTGAGGAACTCGTTTTCTTCTTCGGTTCTGGAAAATTATTAGCCATTACTTCTCCATATGTGTGTCTTCCTCGTTCTCTATCGTGTAGGGGTTCTTAACCTGTGGTCTGTGGACCCCTCAGGGACCCTTTTAGGAGGAAAGACAGTAGCTGCCTCTTTCCCCTTTATGAGCAGGGAAAAGTCACTTTTCCTCATCCCTTGCCTGTGACATGTCCAGCTACTGCCGCAGGACAACTGACTTGATTCCCATCATGTCATCCTGGGGGTGAGGATGAGGGCAGAGAGGGGCTGACGTGCATGACACAGGGTGAAATGCTCAGCAAGAAATCTCTCTCTGATCCAGAAAACCTCGTGGGTGTATTCAGAATAAAGTTTCTGAAGATGAATATCGAAAAACCAGCAGTTTCTAAGTGATGCAAGATCATCTTATAATTTGCTTTTAGTTATCTGTGTATCTAATTTCTCAAATTAGAAAATAGATTTTGTATGTGAAATTATTTTTCTTTCTTCTCCAGCCTCCCACCCACCACTGTGATCTTGATCCTTGATAGATCACTTAGCTGACAACTTTCAACTTTTCTCCGTGATGCAAGATCATCTTATAATTTGCTTTTAGTTATCTGTGTATCTAATTTCTCAAATTAGAAAATAGATTTTGTAAGTGAAATTATTTTTCTTTCTTCTCCAGCCTCTAACCCACCACTGTGATCTTGATCCTTGATAGATCACTTAGCTGACAACTTTCAACTTTTCTCCTTCCCAGTTCTAAACTTTACTCTAAATTTGCATGTTTCCTTTCTTTTACACAATCTTAGGGGAAAAAAAAAAAAAAAGAAAGGCTTTTTCAAGGCTGTGCTTGCCACCTAATTAAGCCCTTGGGCCCATCCCCCCTTCTGAAACCCTAGGCCATGTGTCACTGTCCATGTCTGTGTATATACTAGCTGCTGCTTTGCCTCCAGATAAATCCACATGCCCCCAAATGAAAGAATGACAATTTATTGCATCTGGATTTATACAGATTTTATATTCATAGAATCCCTTCTAATAGCCTATTGAAGAGAAATCTCTGTAAGCTAAAATTCCTCTTTTATATTCAAAGCTGTGAAAATTCAACATGGCAAAGTTGTTCTCAATGCCAATTTATAAAAACCCGTGAGATGCTCACTGCTCAGTTTCAAAAAGCCTTGTAAATTATTTTCCTGAGGAGGAAATCTGGTTAGTTTTGGTTTCTTGAAAACTAGAAAGAAACAAAATTTTAAGAATAATTGTATTTGACATCCATTATGGAAAACAGTGTGGAGATTCCTCAAACAACTACAGATAAATCTACCATATGTCCCAGCAATCCCACTTCTGAGTGTACACCCAAAGGAATGGAGATCATCATCTTGAAGGGAACCTGCACTCCCCTGTTCACTGCAGCTCTGTTTACAACAGCCAAGAGTTGGAACCAACCCAAATGTCCATTGACGGATGACTGGATAAAGAAACTGTGGTATATCTACACAGTGGAATACTACTGGGCCACAAAAAAGAATGAAATTCTGCCATTTGCAACAACATGGATGAGCCTGGAGAAAATTATGTTAAGTGAAA